GAGATGTAATGCCAAAGGCGAGAGACTTCAGCCTCTAGGGCAAAGTTCTTCTCGACAGCACGAGACAGAACTACCGACGAACATAGAGTGGACATGGCAGAGGGGGCGGAAGCACACTTAGCCATTGCGACCATGAGGAGGCGACCGTAGTGAACAACTGAAAGAATAAGTAGAAGGAAGAGAGGACTTCCAGCAAACGTAGGAGAAGGTATAACGACAAAGCCCCCGAAAGGCGTTCGAAGTTAAAGACTTTGAAGCCTATCATGAGATAGAAATCAAGGACTCTGATTGGATTGAGACCGAACCTTCACAGCCAATACGGGGTGAAAGAAGGAGGAAAAGTACTTAGAAGTTAATCTAATTTTATTTAAACTCGTACCGCCAATACTAGCATACAACGAGCCCCCGCCGGCACAGGGATACCGCTAACCAGTATACCACTAATCCTAAGCTAACTAAGTCTACAGCCCCGCACCTGCCATCCCTGAGTCATGCCCACACAGAAACTAATTACAAGACTATCAAACAACCCAGTGCCCACCCCGCTCCAAGTTTGTAGCCCCTCTGGTATGAGGCCAACCAGCACTAAGCATAGCCAAAGCCAAGCAGAAGACTGACCCGACCAGGTTCCTCATCCAACAATCATAAAATCACAACTACTCAGTCTAAATACCGTCCCGCAATACCTCTACCACAGTAGAAAACCAAACAAAACACACAAACTAAACCCACAGGCGACACAATGGCAGGGAGAAGGCAACCACCATGTCCACCTCTCGCACCCGCATGCCCAGCCATCGATCCTATGAACCCACTTTGCCAGTTGCCTCCGAGGAGCGTACCGGTGAGGAGGACCTGTACCTGCTGCCTATCCCCCAAACAAAACACTATAAACAAAGGAAATACATAGAGGTAGTAACAGACCAAAAAAGGTCAGTGGGGCCTATCTCTCACCCATGGTGCCATGCCTCCTCCTGCCAACCCCGTAGCCAAACTAAAGAAACCAAACAAACCCCACAAATCCCAGCACGCAAGGCCCAAACAAGTCCAACCAGGTAGTCGCAACCCACTATCTGCACAGGTAGCCATCAGCCAACCGGTCCAGCAGGGAGCTTTACAGCACTCAGCAGCTTCACCCAACAGCCCAACCCAGACTGGAAACACTTAATTAGACCTCGCCCAACCTGACACAGGCCTGACCGGTGCTCACAAGTGCCTCTCCTCCCCCAATCAGCCCCCTCCAAGCCCCACACACCAGACGCCACAGAGCCCATCCAGCCCCCCCAGCTCCTCAGACAGATTAACCATTCAACAGCCACAGGACAGCATATACCTTGCCCCATCAGGCAGCCACTGGCCTTGGCCACTCAACAGAGCCCCAACCCCTAGTACCTTGTAGCAAAGGAGGCCCACCAGCCTCAGCCAGGAGCCATAAAGGAGGCAGCACCATCACCCGAAGGCATCAGCACCAGCCACACCATCCAACCCAGTCGAACCGAAGTCCAACCAAGCCGGAAAAGAGTCGGCAGAACCAGCCAAACCCAGCCCCACAGGTCCAGCAATAAGCACAGACCGAACAACGGGCAAGAGGCATCGCCAACTGACACGACATGAAGGGGGAGGGCGAATGAACAGGAGCAGACAAACAGAAGGTAGGTCCCTCTTGCAATGGGTGAAGCCGCCAACCACAATCAACAACCGAACCACCCAATCTCACAGACAATACGAGTGTATGGCAGCCAATCGTCCCATACCACCCCAGGCAGCAACAATAACCACACCAGGGGGTAAGAGTTTTCAGGGTCAAAGCCATCCCCACCGAGGTGAGGAGGAAACCCCTGACTGAACCACCGTAAATGCCACAAGGACAAACACTTCAAGAGAATGGTGATAAACAACATCGTAGGATTCTGACCGTAGAAACATAATGTAACAAGGAGGGGCTGGACAGGTACTGTCCTACTACCTGAGGAGTGATGCGGCTAGTACGATGAGTTGAGGACACAGGATGATCATCAAGCGAGCCTGTAGACGTTTTGTATCGTGAAAACTAAGGACTCCATTAAAACCCAACAAGAACATGAGCTGGCCCAGAGAACGACACGGGTGATCCCCCCAAACACAATGTTCAATCCCCCCAAATGAACGCAAAACCTGCATGTAGACAATAGACAGGAAGCCGAAGACATTTTACCGAAAGGGGCTTGTAAGCGACCGTGATGAATAGCTCAAAGTGCCAGCATCGTGAGATAACCAGCAGGCAACGGAACAAGAAGCAAACAAGTAATCCGCCACGCAACGCCTAACAGACCTCAACACCAAAGACCCCAGGAACTACTGAGCAAACTCAGATATCTCTCCCAGAATCCAAGGCATCAAGGCCCACCATGGGTGCGAAAGAAACGCTCGGAGTGAAGCGACGGCAAGGACGAGGAAAAGTACTTAGAACAAAGCGTAAAGAACCTATCCTCCTCGGCCGCATCGGCCTCCTTATATAGTGTTCTTCCCGCCCATAGTCATGTGACCCACAGTGGTCACATGTACAAAACCAAATCATAACAAACTAGTCATGTGACCAAAGTGGTCACATGCTCAAAACCTATTACCTCATAGTGAGATCATGTATAAAAACTCATAAACTAATCATAACGCAATAAATAAGTCATATGACTCGACTGAGTCATGTGCGTGAAACCCATGACCTCATAACGAGGTCACATGCAAAACATAAATCATATGCGCAAGGCATATCCGCAAGGCACACTTGCAAGGTATACTTGTCAGGTGCATGTCCCATGACTCATATTTGAGCCATATGCGAAAGCATCATAAATCCCACATATAACAAATCAAATGACTCGAATCAGTCATATGTGTAAAACAATAACATACCTGTGACTCATAACCATGTGTCACGTGAAAACCTTTTCCTCGCCAAGCCACATTTGTGACAACAGTATTATTCTGTCACCTTCAATTCTGTAGTATTACAGTCACAGGACACAACTATGATTGATATGTATGATGACATATGGGCCACATAAGGGGACCAGAGGTGAGTGTTGGAGACCAGAGATTCCAATTCTGGGTGAGGTTATCCTACTTAGGGTGGCTCCTGAGTATCAGATTTCGGTATTCTTAACAAACACTCTATGAAGTCTAATGGCTTCTATGGTAGTGTTCCTCGGTGTTCTAGACTCTTCCAGCTATTGTACTATGAATGTGAATTTATTAGTCTCTCACTGAGATTCTTTACTATTTGATACTCTCTCTTTGTGCAAAAATGTCCTGTTACCTATGGCCCATGCCAAAGGTATCACATTCTTGAAGCCTAGTAACCTTCCGGGTAGTTGACTGATTTACTCTCTTCCACTTCTCAGACCTAGCCAAATGTCCCCTCTCATATATCCTGCAAACAGGATACGGTTGGACAGATGGCGGTGACATATACGCTGCTATTCTGACACCTTCAATTCTGTGGTATTATAGTTACAAGACGAGACTGAGATTGATATGTATGATAACATGCGGGCCTGCAAGGAGGCCAGAAGGGGGTGCTGGAGACCTGAGATTCCAATTCCAGGTGAGATTACCCTACTTGGAGTAACTCCTAGGTATCGGATCCTGATATTCCTAACAGGTATGGTAAAACTTCAAAGCTTATAAACCTCTCCAAGTCAACTATTTCAACTGTAGTCAGAAATGCGAAATCCAGAGATGGAAACACTCATGATGCCCCCAGATTTGGCAGACCAACCAAGATTACTGATGCTAAAAGGCAAGTAATTCTTAATATTATTGATGCTGAGCCTTATTTAGCTCTAAGAGACATTACTCAAAAAGCTAATATTGGACTTAGTAAAGATACTATTAGCAAGATATTCAAAGAAGCTGGATTTAAGCTCAGGATACCTAGGAAAAAGCCTTTTTGGAGAAAAGAACAGAAGGAGAAGAGAAAGGAGTTTACTAAAGTGAGGAGGAACTGGACAAGAGCTTGGAAATGGATGGTTTTTATGGATGAAGCCACAATTGAATATGATCCAAATCCAATGAGAAGAAAGGTCAGACTTAGACCAGATGAAGAGTTGGAAGAAAAGAACTTAAAGCCTAGCTTTAAGTCAAGGCATACTAATATAGGTATATATACTACAATGATGCATGGAGAGAGGACTGAGCTCATTCTTGTGAGGAAGAGGACTGAGGAGGAAAGAACCAGTAAAAGAGACAGACTTGGTCTCAATTCCCACCAATATGCAACTGAGATTCACCAACCCTACCTCATACTCTTTATAGAAGCCATAGACAGAGCTCCTCAAACCAACTATATGGCTGCTGATAGTGCATCATAGCATAATAGAGCAAAAAACAAAAAATTGCAAGAGGACTGTGGATATCAAAGATTGGCTTGGCCTCCCAATTTACCAGATCTCAATCCTATTGAGAATGCCTGGACAATTCTCAAAAGAGCACTCAGAAAGCGATTCTCCAAGGTTGAGAGAAGGACCCATGGTGCTGCTGCATTATTTCAGGCAGCAAAGGAAGAGTGGGACCTCATTCCCCAGGGGACATTTGATGGATGGATTCAGAGGATGCCTGAGAGACTTCAGGCTGTATTAGATGCAGATGGAAGCCATACAAAATAGTAGCATTGAGAAACTGTTTTTTTTCTATTTCTACTATTATCTATTTTAAAATTGTACTCATATCTTTTTTTTGTTGTGGTCAATATCATTATTTGTAGTAGTAGTGCCGTTGCCGTCAGGGGTATCATACGTAGACTTTTCAGACACGACTGTACTATGCTTCGAATCTCTAAGAGGGGTGTTTGTATGACAGGGACAAACCCTATTGAATCCGGATAAATGTAAATCCGAACTGCGGAACAATGTGATTATCAAATCCCCGACGTCACTCTGGACTTTGCTTCCATTTCCATCAAAACTATCCTCCTCAGCTCTTCCTGTTCTTGTTTTCCAATAATCTTTCGTTTACCTGTCACAATGGCTTCCCGCCGCCTCTCAGATATGATGGCGGTTTTCTCGGCCTCCTCAGCGGTGGCGAGAAAGCACTACTTGATACGAACCCAGCAATTGAATCTCTACGCTTCTACATCTAGTATACTGAAATCCTACTATCGATCCCGAGATATGACCCCTGATAGCCCACCTCGCGACGGAGCAATTCCCCCTTCCAATACCTCTACCCATTCTTCGAATAAAGGGGAAAGAGATAAAGAATACTACTCTGATCGGCCAACAGGGGTCTCCAACGAATCTCTCCCGAAGGATGGACCCGAATTGAAGCCCCAATCATCCAAGTTGGCAACTCCAAAGCTGCGGACATCCTTGTCACCAGAAGAAGCGAAGAGATTACAGAACGAATCAGAGACCTCAATTCTCTCCGCTGTGGCGGAACCCCCTGCTCGGGCGGAGACCCGGGGGATCGATGATGATACGTTCTATCTCAGGCACGCAAGAGCCTCGCCAGTACTGTCGAACTTGCCTCGTGTGAAGATACCGCGAAAGACGGAGGGTGAACTGGAGTCTTCTGGGGAGGCCAATTTTGATGCTTTCTATGCAACACCAAAGAGGGATGGGGAGACGGCGGAGATACCCGAAAAGTTTGTTCTGCCGGAACAAGAAGGTGGTGGTGTGGGGGGACTGGATGGAGAATTGTTTCACAGCCGACGGGCAAGGTCCCTGCTTACGCAGCTCCGAGGCGCAAAAGAGAAGACATTGGAGAAAGCTGCGAAGGCTCCGAGGGAAGAGAATACTGAGGGGAAGGATGAGGATACTTTTTACACAAGAACTAGCGTAGACATATCACCTGATACCGGCACTCCCTCGCCGGCTATATCTAGTGTACCGAAGCAAGAAAAGAAGGGTATTGAAGATCTTGCATCCGAAATATCAAAAGATGTAGGAAAGACTTCTACTGCCATCACCGAGCAGGTATGAATTCCACCTCTTCAGCGCTTTAGCCGATCATTATTACGAATACTTGCTTTTATCTCTTAATTTCAGAAAATTGCAGAGAAAGACGCTGATCACTCGCTGATCAGTCATGGGCGAGTATTAGGTTGAAGAACCGGCCTTCCAAATGAGTGCTTCCCGTGTCCCCTCTTCCCGTCTTGGAAGGCTCTTTCATTATGGTGGATTAGCAGCCGGTATGGCGTGGGGAGCGGCGGGCGAATCCCTTCGACGGGCCACTGGAGGAGGGGACAGTGGCTCCACCAGCGGCGTACTGTTGAATCCACCAAACGTGGAGAGGTTAGTTAAAAAATTGAGTATGATGCGAGGGGCGGCTTTGAAGCTTGGTCAAATGATGAGCATTCAGGGTATACACGCACACACTTATATCTAACTTAGAAATACACAACTTACACATGAGCTGACTGGGGCAGATTCAAAAATGTTACCACCCGCGTTACAGGAGATTCTCACACGTGTCCAGGACAGCGCGGATTACATGCCACCTCTCCAGCGCGATTCTGTCCTAGAAAGCAATTTGGGTCCTCAGTGGCGGGATTTATTCACCGAGTTTGAGGAGGTACCCATGGCTGCCGCTTCGATCGGTCAGGTACACGCAGCAACCCTCTCATCCAATGGCCTTCCTGTTGCCGTCAAAATCCAGTATCCCGGAGTCGCCGCGTCAATTTCTTCAGACCTAAGCAACCTGGCGATCCTCATGACAGCGTCCCGACTTCTTCCCAAGGGTCTCTACCTCGACAAAACTATTGCGAACGCAAGAGTAGAACTAGCCTGGGAATGCGACTACCTCCGTGAAGCGGAATGTGCAAAGCGCTTCGCGACACTTCTGCAAAATGATACTTTTGTATTCAAGGTTCCCGCTATTATCGACGAGGCGTGCGGTCCTCAAGTACTAACGATGGAGAGAATGGGCGGGATCGGTGTGACGAAGATAATAAGCAAGTTGACACAGCAGGAACGAGACTTCATTGGCACTCAGATCCTCAAACTGTGTTTTCGAGAAGTTCAAGAATTCAAGTTTATGCAAACCGATCCAAACTGGACGAACTTCCTATGGAACATGGGGGAGCAAAAGGTATCTCCCCCTCTCCCCGCGCTCCTCTTGTTGAAAGAGGAAAAAAAGAAAAAAGAAAAAGAAAAGAAAGCTAACGAGCCCAGATCGAACTTCTCGATTTTGGCGCCTCAAGAGCCTACCCAGAATCCTTCGTCCAAACCTACAGCGCCCTCCTAAAGGCCGGTGCCCGCAGTGAAGAATCACAAATCCGTGACCTCTCCATAAAACTTGGCTACCTCACCGGCCTCGAATCCCAAACGATGCTGCGCGCTCACGTTGGATCCATTCTCGCCCTATCAGAGCCCTTCAGTGCTAACGCGCCAGAAGTCTACGACTTTAGCGATCAGACCGTGACCGATCGTGTCCGCGGGTTCATCCCATTGATGATGAGGGAGAGACTTACCCCGCCACCCGAGGAGACGTATAGTCTGCATCGGAAGCTCAGTGGAGCTTTTTTGCTGTGCGCTAGGTTGGGGAGTAGGGTGCCCTGTAGGGGGATTTTCGAGGAGGTTTTGGGCGAGTAGGGTGGGGCAGCGAGTAATTCGCAATGATACCCAAGCTATGAGGGGACCCGTTTGTGCTCTTAGGTGGGTGAGGGGAGGTTTCTAAGGGTTTTTTTCCTCCCTAATTTTTTTTTTTTTTGTGATAGAGTATATATAGTATATCTCCATGCGCCGTCTTTCCGCTGTTTTGGGTATTACTTGTACGGTGTGAAGTTGAGTTAAAGTGTGACCCCTACCGGTGGATTCTTCGGGAAGAGATGCCTGTTCCTCCAGTGATACACAGTGATTTCCGCGTATAGAAACAGAACTTTTTTCTGCACACTTACTCGCCCCAGTCCAACCAAACCCATTATCCCGGCAATAGCATTTTTACCAGAGAGTGAAAGCTAAGGAGCATCAACCGCCGGATCCTACTGGAGTAGAGTACTATACTAGCTCTAGACATATCACGCTGGTAACGCTACGGCTTCAGTCACTAAGGTGAGGTATGATCGTTTGGTGATTACCCAGGTAAGTTTGGCAACGATAGAGTCATAATGGAAGGAAATACTAATAACAAATCCGGTATTCACTCGCTTTATTGCTTCGAGAACTAATTCATTCATTCATTGGTTTGAATCTATAATGGTAGCTCTAAGTCCGCATAGGGATGAGAGAGGGAGGGGGGGCATTTATGTCTCGAGCCTTTTTCCTTCCCTCTGCTAAAGGTATTATTCCAGGTATGATACATATGATACATGCTAACAAAGTAAACACATTTTCCCGGCACAAATCGCCGCATTCGCGTTCGCATGAGGGGGGGTATCATATCCCAAAAAGCTGTAAGCAAAAACATAGATAAATTCAAAAACAAGATTTCATACGAATAATATATACCCCAACAAGTAGTCGTCAAGTTTGATTTGTGTTTCTGAAAAGAAAGCTTCCGTGCATGCACCCGATTCCAGACCATTAAGCTCTCGAACTGCATCCCCCACTGTAGTATTCGAGTACATACTTGACAATGATGATTGCTTGGCAGAACTTGTGGTTCCCGACCCGGACAACAGTAGAATGATGCCGATGTCGGTGTGTCTGTGTGATAGAAGGAGGGTGCCAGTCTTGGCATTTTATCTTATCCTACGAGGAGAGACTTCCCAGCGCACTTATGAAGCTTCAAGTTCAGTCGCAGGACGGAATCGTGAGATTTTTGTGTGTTTATGGTGCTGAGCCCCCGTCCCGACCTTCCTAAATAGGAGGCCGAAAAGCGGGGTTCGAAAAGTTGTACGGGCGGGGATTACGTCTCGAGTGATATGCTATGATATGCACAGTGCGGTAGAATGCAGGTCTAATTTTTGAGGTGGGGTGCTCATTAGCGCTTTCTCGATTCTTAGGGGCTGTTTGTCTCGCCGTCGATTGGGATGGCAGCAGTGTTTGGCATATCACCGTTTTGAAAAGGCATTTTGAGAAAAATCCAAAACGCATTCCGGGAAAATTTCATGCAGGGGTTTGTTAAGGGACGTATCGTATTGAGCTGAATGCTTGGCAAGGGTTTGCGAAACGCGTTTTGTAATTTTGGAAGCCAGTCAGTTGCAAAACGCACCTCCGTAAACGCATTTTGAGACGACGAACTGTTCACCAGACGGCCAGCCAAACAGCCTCTTAGTCTATTCATCCCCTCCTTTCCTTTCCCTTTTCACTTTCCCTTCTTCCCCTACACATCCTCACATCCCCACTTCCACTCTCAAACCCCCAAAACCCCTCCCCGCAACCGCTTCCCTCCTCTTCTCCAACACCTTCACCCCCCGAACCAACAACCACCCCTAGCGGCCCGTAAACGCGCACACGACCGAGAACAAATATATACCCATTCTTGGACTGGCCAACACGCCCTTCGACCTCGCGATTGAGGTGATCGAGAATGTAATCTACTAGAGGCGACCATTAATAGAAGAGGAGGGGGTATAAGGAGCAGGGCTTTGGCGTGCTCTCGTAGGATTGGAGTGGGTGCGAGGTGCTGTTGTTAGTAGGGTTAGGGTCGAGTTCCTACCGGTGCGGGGTGAATGGAATAATACCATGGTTGGTATGGGGAGGGAGAGGAGAAGGGAGGAGAAAAGTAGTTAGAGGCCTGTATTAGTTTCCTTAGAATTACGAGGAGGCTGTAGACTATCCCGCGCTAGGTGGCAGATCGAGAGAATATTTGAGTTATGGGGATTGAGGAGCCTATTGGTGCCTATTGTTGTTCTGGAGGCTAGGGTAAGCGAAGGGATGAAGGGTGAAGGGATGAAGGGTGGGCGGGGGTAGGTGCGAAAAAGAAGTACTTCAATATCCTTTATACAGGAATCTGGTAGTACTTCTCGTAGACTTTGGCAGTGGTCCATTCACTGTCGCGCTTCCCATCTCACTGCGTACTAACCGTGCCGGCCAGAAACGCTGCAAACAGAACGCTGGTGCCGGTGTAGCTTACCACGACTATTAACCTGATCAATAAGGTTGTGTGCACCAGGAACACAAACGTAGCGCTAGCGCACTTCCCCACTATAGCCCCCCCGGCACGCCTTCTCGATACCCCGCCAACAACCAACAGCAATCCCAAACTTGCACCCACCGGCCTTGCAATAACCTCCCCGTCAACCCCCCAACCCCCGGCAACCTGGATCATAACCAACCCAACTACGTCACCATCATCGCCATATAACCAAGCACAGTCCCCAACCTAGTCCCAGCAAAACCCGAAGCACCCAGGATCGATCCTCGCAGGAAGCCCAAGAATAGGGGCTAAAGTTCCCTTCGTCGCGACGTCGACCGAGATGGGGAGGTCTGAGAGCAGGGCTGGAGGGGGGGGGGTGAGGCCCCCTTTGCAGACTAGTAGGACGAGGCCTAGGTCTACAACTGTAGCCATTAAGGGATGCCGTACATAATCCCATAGAGAATCTACCCCAGGAGACCGCAGTAAATTATTGCGTTTAGGAGCGTGTTGAGGAGGAAGAAGGTTTGAGTGAGGATTGTTGTGGTAAAGGGGGGGGTTGGAATCTGTCACCATGGCAGATGGTGGATCGTGGCGTACGAGTACTCGTATGATGGCGGTAGCGGTGGTGGTGTTGTATGATAGGAGGCATTGCAGCTGTTTTGGCGGTGGTGAGGCTTTGTTGGCGGGATTTTTCGGGGTTGAATGAAATCTTGGCATACATGCGGCCTGACGATTTCCTGGTAAGTTACCGGTGGCTCGGTGCGGATGTTTCCGAGAACCCCGTGATAAAGTTTAATTCAGCGGTGGTGCAGTCTTCATAGCAGGGCACCACCAAAAATGGGCGTGACGAACAGGGATCGGTATGATAATATTGATACTTGTAGCAAGATCATCCCTTGTTACCCTACTTTGACCAAATCAATTTTTTGCCTGCCAAATATCATGGTTCTGTTCGTCACTCCGTTGAAGACTGTACTGTACAGTACCCGAATAGTGCTAGGTGCAAAAGTGCATGAATACGGTAGCCCAATTTCAGATTATCGCAGTAATTGTACTCGCACGTTAAGGCACTTTGGCTCAGCTTTTCTTGTTCCTTGAAGTACCGCTATCATCCTACTAATAATCAACCTAATCCAAGTTTTTCGGTATGTACTGTACTCGTACAGTACCTTGCATCTATTCCATACACTTATAACACAGTATAAAATATTCACGATTCAAAGGGCAGTACTCCACATAATACTACCCGTCAATAACATTAACAGAACCTTTGCCGCTTATCCCATTCCCCATATTGTCTTCCCTAGTAATTACTCCACCTATTCCACCACTTTGATAATCTCGGAACTGGCTAACAGCAATATTCTTTTCGAACATCTTGTCAACCTCTTCCAAGCTTCTGCCCTTCATCTCAGGAATTAGGAGCCATGCAACCACCACACTTATAGCGCTGATACTTCCATAAATGAAGCCTACCCTAGCGCCAAGAGCAGCATAGGGTGGGTTAAGAAGATACGGAAGGGTGAACGAAACCACAAAAGTGGTTATAACGTTGATGGATGTGGCAAGATTGTTTGTTTTTTCCTTAAGTCGAGATGTGGCAGTCTCACCGAGGATGGTGTAGGAAATAGGTGCCCAAGAAAGCGCATAGGAAGCTCCGAAGAGAATATTAGAGGCTACCATAGTGTTCTTTTGCGTGGTATTTGGGTTGTGAATCGTACCAACACCTCCAAGTGTGAAGAGGAAAAGGGCCATAAAGGAACCGCCAGTGAGGAGAATAGGTCTGGATTGGTCATCATCAGTCCTAGAACCTTTTATGTACGGAGGGAGTAATCCAATCACCTTCTCCCGAAGGAATCAACAACCAATGAGGTGAACATAATGGCTACAAGACCGACTACTGCTTGGATGACGCTTATTCCGAAGGGGTTAGGGATCTTCTGGCGTTGGTAGAAGATTACAGCATACTAATTGAAGCTGTTAGCCCATGGGCACTGCTCGTTACAATTTAATAAACGGTCATTACTTGTGAAACAAATGCTTGACCAGTTATTTGTTGAAAAAACATAGCTGTAATAGCGATAATTGTTCGTCTCTTGATATGTTATCAGCAGAGATGTGGCAAAGTTACAAGTAATAGGATAATGAGGATAGATAGTTAACTTACCCTATTTACTCCCTGGAAAATTTCTTTCCATGCCCCTTTGCCCTGGTTTGTATTTGAGGCAGCAAGCAACTCCATTTCCTCCTGCAACAACTCGATCGGGACATCCTTCTTCCTCAGCTTCATCATTGACTTCAAGGCCTCGCCCTTTCTCCCCTTAGCCATGAGCCTGTTTTAGTCAGCCACCACCCTCGCCCTATCCTGATGGAAGGATCTACCATCTAGGTGACTCTGGGAGCATTGGGAGCAGCCCCAGGATGATTACAGGAACAACTAGTTGTAGCCCTGTTGGGACCAACCAACTGACATCGCCGTCCATTCCTTTAGTCCCATAATTCACTAAAGAGGCAACTAGCTGGCCGAAGCCAATTTGTAATTGCAGAGTCGCAGATATCATCCCACGCAGTGCGGGTGGAGCACATTCTGACTGAAATATTGGGACAACAACTATAGTGAAACCGGTCATTGCAAAATTAATAACTCGGCCAGAGGTGAATTGTGCCGCAGTCGTTGCGGTCATCTGGAGAGTGACCCCACTATCACAGGATTAGGACTGCTCTCTTGCATAGAAGGGGGAGAAACCTACACGAGTGAGATGCAGGCGAGTACCATAATGGCGATTTTCCTTCCATAGCGCTCAGCGACCGGCCCGCAGGACAGAGACCCCTGTTTTTGTTTTCAAAACTGTTACCCATAGGACCTTACAGGGGAGGCATGTTAGAACGCTTACTATGAGCTTTCCCAGGAAAGGAGTGGAAGTCATAATGGACGACAGATACGCAGGAAGCGCCCACAGTTTTGCATCTTCTTCATATCGTCCGAACTTTTGGGCGAAGGCTATTATGCATGCTGTTGTTAGGATCAAGTTGTGATTGGAGAGTTGAATTTCGGGTTTTGTGACACCTTTCATGCCTTGTACACCTCCAAACGTTCCCACATCATATCTGGCAGAGAGCCCAGTTAGCCAACCAAGCTACCGGTATGGAGACGGGGGAGTAAACACCCAAAATTGAAGGCAGCCAAAGAAACGAAAACCGTCAAAAACGTCAAGACAGGCGTGAATAGGCCAACCCGTTGTCGGAGCGTGAGTGTTTGATGATTGCTGACCTCCATAGCGGCGAAAATGACAATTGATTGACAGGAGTGAGAAGATTGCCAGGGCTCGGGGAGACTTTGTATTAGTGGAGCCTTACACGGGCACTCGGCATCGACAAGCTCGGAAGAACCATTCGGGAAGCTAGAATGCTAACAGGGAACCCGGTTTCACATATTGGAATATTCAGAACTACGGGTAAGGAAGAAGGCACTCGTACTCGAGTACGAGTACGAGTAGAGCGCGAGTGCACACGGTACTACGGAGCAGGAAGCGGTCAATGGCAAAGTGCACAAAGGGCGCACTATTCGGATGCTGGCTACTAAAATCGGTAACAAGTTTATACTCTCTGCGCTTCCGTTGCTCTTTGATCTTGTCTCAAGAAACATTCTTCGTACAACTATGGCGGTGCTCGAGTACAAGTACAGTATACGCTGACCGATAGACTAGGGTAACAGAACATTAGCTTACAAGTATCGGTGACAAAACTGGGGGCCGCCGGGCATTCGTACCACGGTAAATTTACAATGAGTCTTGGTGAAGGAAAAAAGGGAGTCACAGTAAGCAGTGGAGGCTTGCTCGGGTAAGACTTGAAGCCTCACTCAGCAGCCCATCATCCACCAGGATCCATGCTTGTCTTGGAACCAAAGAGAGCAAGAAACTAAGGGATTAAGGGTCCAAAACCAAAACCCTTTTCACCTATCTGGCTCTTCGAGAAGGGCACACGCCTAGACTAGTCTACTTTGCTCCAATCCCCCCTGACTGCTCAAGATTACCCAAGAAGGTGCGCAATGTGGGGCAAATTGTTTCTTTCCTGATCACGTTTTGCCACAGAAATCCAAAAACGAGTGATACAGAAGGAACCCTGGCAACCCCCCTCCCCTTGTAAGTCGTTTACTTAACTCCCCTCTCTAGACGCCGCGCCGGGGCCTTCGTCGTAACATTTGGTGGCAATGAAAGGTCCGGCAAGTCTCACCGTCTTACCGGCAACCAGTACTCGGGTACTTTGTGCTCGGGTAGACTATTGATGATCCACTCGTTCCAACCAATTGGGTGTGAACTTCCTTGGCTTGGACCACCATACCTGCGTGGATAAGTTGAAGTTGGACTCCCGGTATATTTGTCTGAGAATTTCCACTCCGGGAGCCCGACCCCAAGTCGGCAGCACGAGTGCGGTAATCCACAAAGAACCGTGATCAGTCTGCTGTACTTGTACGCTTTGGCTTTGATAGGAAAAGAATCTGACGAACCTGAAAACCCAAACGCCTTCTTGGTCATGGCTACTGTCTGTACTCGAGTACCGGTACCTACTACCGGTATGCTGACGAAGGCTTGCTGCGACTCGTTATTTTCTTACCCTAGGAAGTGGCAGGTGCCCGTACTCGATTAAGTACCGATATGATAGAATACGATATCTGAGCGTCGACTCCACCAGTACCTTGTTCCCTTCTTTCGATGCTTGAGTAGGGTACTTATAGAACATGTTCCAAACCATCTGGTTGGCATACAACAGAAGCCGCACTCTTGCTTCGCACCTGCCCACGATGGCGAATTCAACCTTCTTTTAATTGCCGTATTCCATCTATTCTTTTCCACATCCGACATACATGGTCACTGTTGCCTCCACCCCACGGTAGTATCCTTACTCGGACAACTCGGGGTCTTCTTTCGTTGGAATTGGCGGACTAATATCTGGCATCTGGTGGGGCCTGGGTCTTCCATTTCTTATCTCTCTTGCTTGGGTCCTGAGGCTTGAATTTTTCTTTTTTCTTCTTTCTTTTCTTTTTCTCCTTCTTCGATTGCTTCTCTGCAAGTCTTGCCAGCCGAGCCAGTTTGCCCCCCTCGATATCCCTCCTCCTCTCACCTGCCTCCCTTCCCATTGATTTGTTAGTTTCTTCCACACACGCACCTTTTTCCTTCGCATACCGGTTTGCTCTCCTCTTCCATTCCTTTTTCCCGGCTCTTGCTACTCTTTTTCCTTCTCAGTAGAAGCTCGCTCACCCATCATCTTGGGGCAAGGCCCAACTTGAGGTTTTTGTTCCTCGTCTACGCATAGCGTGTTTGACCCCGGCACGTCTTTTGAGGAATCAGATTCCTTACCCTACGGTAGATCTGAGATTCAGCCTCTCCCATAGAGCATAAACCCGAATCCCGGGCAATCCCGCTGTTGGCGGAACGGGGGTACCGGTACCGTACCGTAATATAACTACCGGTAGGCGAGTGGGCTGAACTCCCCCCGCCTGGAGCCCCACGGAACTCGGGAACCCCAAAAAATTAGAGTTTGGAAATGCGATATCCGATGTAATCATGTTCAACGTGCAGACATCTCAAACTGCTCCATCTCCTGCTACCGTGACTTCTGTCCCAGAGGGGTCCAGCGGTTCGAAAGAAAAGAAGCGCTCTCGATCAGGTAGGTTTAAATCTACTCCGTTATATCTTCATTCGAACCGCCCCACAATTCCAACCTTGGCTCCATTGATAGGTCCTTTCGATGTAAGGTTTGCATTTGCTAACTGTATGTCTCGGGATACGCGATAGGCTGTCTCGTGTGCAAAGTCCGTAAGGTACCGTATAACCCCTTGGTTCTTTCCCATCGGAAATCATCCAAGTTAATTACAATGTTTGGCTTTGTGGTTTGTCAGGTCAAATGCGATGAGCGTCCCGGAGCTTGCAACAATTGCCAAAAGCTTGACATCGATTGTCCTGGCTATTCCCCTACAAATCCCTCAGAGGCTCCTGAGGAAACAGTGAGTGCTATTTTCGCACGAGCGGGGCGGAAGCGACGACGGATGGTTGGCTCGTGTGTGGATTGTAGAGCATCGAAGAGCAAATGTTCGAGTGATAGACCAACATGCGAGCGCTGTGCCAAGAGGGGGATTGCTTGCGAATACGGTGAGACTTTGCGAGGTCTCTCGAGAAGCCAGAGCCCTAAGAGTAGACGGGGTAAGGAAAAAGCTCCTACGTCCGCTAGCGATCTAGGCGGGGAGGAACTCCCGAAATATGAGAGTTGGGCAAGTACGGTCCTGGAAAGAAGGGTTTCAAGAGGTGAGAGCGAAGGCTGGAAGGGTGGGACTGAATTAAATGGAACGGATTGGTGAGGATGCTGTTTGGTGGTTTGGTGGGGATAATTTACTGAAGTCCGTATTTTTCGCAGGTTATTTTCACCTAACCTGCCCAAGTCCTCTACACAATTAAACCTGTTAATCGAAACTTACTTTAATGACGTTCACCCCTGCCGATCCCTGAGCTTTCTCCACAAGCCAACATTCATGCGTGCTCTCCAGGAGGGAACGGTTGATAAAACATATGGAACACCTTTAGTGCTAGCTATGTGCGCATTAGCAGCGCAGTGAGTGGCTTCTTCTTCACTCTCATCTCCCCAAAATAACTTTTTATTAATTTCTCCGTAGCATAGTTTATTGGGATGAAGTACTAGAAGGGCGCTCTCTTGTTATCCCTGATGCCCGGAATCCGAGTGACCAATCATTACTGAACTCAATACCGGGCGATCAATGGGCTAAGAAAGCGCAAAGTATAATGGTCACAAATTTCGCAGAAATTAGTCCAGAGAGGTTGATGGTATGTGGTGGTTTTCGAGCACTGCTCTCCACGGGAAATGAAGTCTTATTCGAAGTCTAATAGCCAGCAGGCCTTGGTGCTCTTGTGCGAACATCATTCCCGAACTCAACAATCCCATGAATGCTTTATGCTCTCTGCATTTCTGATACGTGCAGCTCAGGCCCTGAACCTGGATACAGGTCAAGAAGATACTCCAAAGGCGCAGGATCCTGATGCCATCACCGAATGTGAGACAAGAAGGCGACTTATGTGGTCCTGCTATATAATAGATCTTCTCTTGTGCTCTGGAGTCAAGCGGTTAATGCTGTGGGACCCGACGAATATCAAGGTCCAGTTGCCATGTCAGGAAAGAAACTATACTTTGCAGATACACTGCGAAACCGAGTCCCTGTACCCTATTCGCACGGGCTCGCCAGGAATAAGAAATTCAGATAATTTAGGCATAGAAGCCTACTATATTAGGCTTTTCCACATTAGAGGAAAAGTTCTTGAGTAGGTGTTCTCCTTCCGCTTGGTCGGTGTTTGACTAAGTATTAGGTAAAGGCAAATACGCAACCCAAATCCTTATGGGCCACCTTGGTCTACCAGTTCACCCTTCCAACACCTGACCAATGAATTAGTTGATTGGGAGAATACGCTTCCTGACAGTCTACTTTTCAACAACTCTAATGTGTATGTCCGTCGTGAGTGTCGACAGCTTGGCGCATTCTTTGGTCTCCACCTTGTATATCATCAAGTTTTCTGCGATCTCTATCGTATATCGCTTCCAGGCTACCCCTTCCCCGCCGCGGCTACCTTTGGTGGTGCCCCGGACGGGTTCGTGGCACAGTGTCAGAGTACGTGCAATGTTCATGCGGCCCGTATTTCAGAGATATTTGAAATGAGCTTCACGCATGGATGGAAGGCCTTGGTCGAACCGTTGTGTAATGTTATTGCATTCGAGAGCTCAAAACACCAAATTGTGTATTTCACAGCTTGCAGCTCACCTGGGCCGGAAAGGCGAAAGCTATGGGACTCACTTGCATGTAATTTGGCGGTAAATATTAAAGCCTTAAACGACATAAAAGGTTATTCAAGGACTGCAGAGGAATGCGTGGGTTTTACCCTACTCTTTCTGGGGAAGCGATACTGACCTAACGATATAGGTATCGTCAATACAAGGGCTTCTGGAAAGACTGAATATGTCTAGCATTTTGGGCCCTGTGCCTGGGTACAGCGAGAAGCGCAGGTAGTTTTCCTTCCTTCTCTAGCAATGGACAGTTTTTGCTAATAGGTAACGATTAATACAGCACACGGCCAAGCGAGATTGTTTATGGCGATATACACAACTTACATCAGTTCTCCACTTTCCGTCTTGTCCGTGAAGGTCTTGCTAAGCCTGGCTCCTCCTCCGGTCGGGAACCCCCCGCACCCATGCGACCTGGGGAACATACCCTGTCAAATGTTCGCGCAGTTGACAGCCCACAAATTGCCGCTACGCATTCTCCGAATTCGCATCGAATCCTCGCCCCTCCATTATCTCCTCCTATGGTCAATAATGAACAAATGGGACTAGATTCGCTTGGACAACCGCCAGAACAAGAATATCAAAATATTCAGGCGGACTACGAGGCGATATGGGCGGAGATAGACTTTAGAGTTGCTAGTGAAGGTGGCCAGATGTTCGCCTGGGACCCGTATTTTATGAACGGCGGTAGCATCGATGGCACTACTTGGTCTGGGGGCGGAGGCTGGACGTGATTATTATTATTCGCAAGGTCGAATCACCTGAGTTGAAGATATTTTTCTTTCATCCTCCTTTGCTTCAGATGTCTCACCGGGTATCGTCAACATGTCTTGTAGTAGCAACGTTCATAGTCTCGATTGGCTCCATGTTCAGGTTCAATATAAAAAATATAAAAGCAATGCGCATCCTTTGTTTTTACCATAGTTTATCCCGACAGCCGGCGATGTGTCCTATATGCATAACAAGGCTCTGGCGCTGCCCAATAGGGATATTTTATGATATCTTACAAAAAACCAACGTTATCATCACTACTATAGTACCATACCGCTGTTTTACAGATATATTTGACAAGCCAAGTTTGCTAATCTTCTACTAAATGATAGACTATCCGATTATCGATAAGAATGGGCTTCGAAGACACCTGTCCCATGTGTCAGCTGGCTGCTCGTTCGCCGGTTTATTTGTTGGAGTCAAAGTGGTGTCGTATCGTGCGAATCAGATCAATTCCCACAATATAAGTTCGCTAGGAGCTCGGTAAGACGCTCGCGGAGCTCGGAAAACTCGCAGATTGGACCAGAAAACATCATATGCTGCACCCCCAACTGCTCTAAATAGTACGTTTAAGTATAGGGCACCAGTATACGTGTGAAACGAAATATCCATAAAGCTAGAAAGTATTCCTCTTCAATTCCCTCCCCCACTCGTCCATCATCCCGGAATTGGAGCAAGCAGCAACAATATGACAAAATCAGAAAAAAGGCCAAACTTCCTTGTAATTGTGGCCGACGACCTTGGCTTCAGCGATTGCAGCTGTTTTGGCAGCGAGATCCAGACTCCCAACGTCGACCGTCTGGCCAGCAAGGGGTTACGATTCACGGATTTTCACGTCGCTGGAGCATGCTCACCCACTCGTTCTATGCTCATGACTGGCGCCGACCATCACATCGCTGGGCTCGGTCAACTCTCCGAGTACACTAGGAATTCCCCAGCTCACCAGGGGAAGCCTGGGCACGAGGGGTATCTAAATGACAAAGTTGTCACCCTACCACAGCTTCTGAAGGATGGCGGGTACTTTACTGTTATGAGTGGGAAGTGGCATTTAGGACTAAAGCCGGAATATTCGCCACATGCTAGAGGGTTTGAGAAGAGTTATGCCCTGTTACCCGGTTGTGCTAACCATTATGGTAAGCCTATATATGCTCGCTGAGTTTTCGACGGGGTCTACTAAGTCCTGCGCTTAGTTTCTCTCACACTCTGCTACTCACCGGACGTATCATATGATAGTCTATCACGTTCTTCAAGCACATACTGATGGTTTTCTACAGGGTTTGAGCCCCGATACAATGATGATTTACCAGGGTTCTTTGAGACCGCTGTGACGGCTCTGCATATGGAGAACTCCACCTACGTCCCTCAGAACCCTCCAGAACCCAATTTTTATTCTTCAGACTTCTACGCATCCAAGCTAGTAAACTACCTAGAAGCACGAACTCCCGATGAAAAATCCAGGCCATTCTTTGCATACTTACCATTCTCCGCCCCCCATTGGCCTTTACAAGCCCCTGAAGTTTCAGTCAAGAAGTACGAGGGGCTCTACAAAGACGGACCCGATGCCCTTCGCCTCCATCGTTTAGAAAGTCTCAAGACGTTAGGTCTTGTATCGCCTGGCATCCATCCACACCCTGTTGTGGCGCCAGAATCCGCAGATTGGAACTCAATGACCCCAGATGCCCGCGCCAAATCTGCCCGTAGCATGGAGGTCTACGCCGGCATGGTCGATCGCATGGACGAAAACATTGGGCGGGTCCTCTCATTCCTGGAAGCCTCGGGCGAAGCAGAGGACACTTATGTCCTCTTCATGTCCGATAACGGTGCCGAAGGTGCAAGCATCGAAGCGCATCCGATAATGGGGGACGAGGTCATATCTCATCTGGAGAAATACTACGATAACAGCCTCGATAATATTGGGCGGTATAACTCTTTCGTCTGGTATGGTACACGGTGGGCACAGGCTGCTACTGCCCCATGCAGGCTTTATAAGATGTTTAGTACAGAGGGGGGCGTCAGGGTTCCACTTGTTTTGAAGTCGCCAGGGGCGAGTAAGGAAGTGGGGGAGATAAGTCATGAGTTTTGCACAGTGATGGATTTGGTGCCTACGATTCTCGACCTGGCCGGTGTCGGACATCCTGGAACATCTTACAACGGCAAGCCAATCGCCCCGCTTCGAGGGAAAAGCATGGTAGCGTACCTCTCCTCCCGTGAACGGATACACTCTCGGGACGATGTATCCGGGTGGGAAATTGCCGGCAGCGGTGCGATCAGAAAGGGAAAGTACAAGATCACCTATGTGCCTGCACCCAAGGGGCCTCAATGCTGGGAGTTGTTTGACCTGCGGAGCGATCCTGGCGAGACGAAGGATCTGAGTCAAGGATTGCCGGAGGTGATGGAGGAGATGTTAGAGTGTTGGGAAAAGTACAAGAAGGAGGTTGGCGTTGTTGGGCTTGCTGGGGAGTTGGGCGATGTTCCACTTACGGTCGATGAGTTTGAGGACACGGGCAAGTGGACGAGGTTCTTGGCGAAGGGTGGCTCCTTCGCTTCTTAAGCATGTATTGTAGATGGTCGCTTTTTTTTTCGTACCTACTGGTTATGGATGAGAAAAGCATTGCCTAAGGAATCAATATACATGATTTTCATCATACTCACTGGCAGCACTTTTTAGCATGGTTAGAGGTGAACTATCATGGAATTTTCGCAATACGCTGCGCTGGTCATTACATCTCACTCGCTCGGCTTTTGCTGGTCACCGATTGACACGTCCGTGTACCCGTAGAGTACAAGAGTGTGCTGAGTGAGTCTATACCCTCTAAAAGCGAAACGAGCTTATGAGACGAACGCACAGTACCGTAAACCAGAATAATACCGGAGTGTTGGTTGTCCCCACCCCAAGCCGTACGGCAACGAAATCATGTGACCTTCATAACTCGAAATAGGTTGTGAAATAATTCTTCGGCATGGTATCATACAAGAAGTGTCGCTCCCTACAAGACCCCCCTTGATTCCTCTCCACTTAGAGTTTCTCAAGTCCCAAAGACCTCCCCGGTAACCCACCAGCGACTTCCAGAGAACTCCCAATCACCAGAACCTCCCCCGCTGTGTCGGGCCGCCCGAACATACCGACACTCCTCACCACATATATTCTCTCTCTCCCCTTCTCCGGAATCCCACACCATCCGCCGATCCCTTCCTTCATCCATTCCTCCCTTGTCCTGACTTCGGTTAGAATCCCCGGTGGGAATACCGCACTTGGAATTAAACCAGCGCCTAGGGTCCGAGCGTGGGATTGATATGATATAGACCGTGTGAACCCTCAGCGAGGCGGCACCCTCAGCAAGGCGTGGCATGGCTTGGCTTGTTACTGTAGTTAAAATCAAGGGGCTTTTGCAGCCAAGTTTCGCCGCGCCTCGCTGAGGGTGCTGCCTCGCTGAGGGTTCCCACGGTCTATAGGGAAGGCGTAACTTCCGCCATGGGTACGTGCGCCCGGCAAAGGAGCAAATGGAGATGCGAGGAATGGCGAGCGAGGTGTGTTTGGCCGCCTCGGTGGAAATGTTTTGCGGGGTGTGATGGATGTTCCGGTTCAAATTTCGACGGGAGGTTGGCGGGGGCAATTTAGAGGAGTATATTATATATATATTATAATATTATACATGTGGATGGAGGAGACCTTAGTCACTGAGCATCACTCGGTTCACGTGATGTGCAGAGCCGGGACTGCATTGCGTAATGGAGCCAAAGGTGATTATCATGAACGCAAACGACTAACCTCCTTAATTAAACTGCCCTTCACCCTCCCGTCGTGCATAGATTACTCTATACTATCAGATTTCCACGAATGTGGCTCTACTTCGCACATTTTTATTGTATCATTACCCCTACTCCCCGTACCAACCAATCAATCAATTTATCATACCCTTTACAAGCTCTTCCATGGCAATTTGGGGTCCTAAGTCTCTCCTGAACGCCTCAAGTTTAAAATCCACAAATCCGAACACCTCGACGAGGAGTGGAAGAAAGAAGGGGGGGAAGGAAAGAAAGAAAAAGTGATCGATGAGAGAACGAAGCAGAACGGGGAGCTGTAGATAAAAAACAGCTTTTGAGGTGGTGATATGATATCATAATGTGCGAGGACGACAAACTGGGATTCCAATAGGTTCTCCATCATAAATTCTTTGATGGCATGATAATAGGTTATCCTGGGGCTAATATCGGATTGTTTATGCAGTATGCGGTCAACATGAGGCATGAGTGTGTCGGTAACTCATAGGGGATTGTTTTCACGTCCCTAGGCTGGTGTGATATTGTGCGTTGACAAAATTAACCGCGATTCAACAATCGGTGGCAACCCACCCCTCTTCATCACCCCGCACTCTCAACAGTACCTAAAAGAATTGCTCTAAGTCAACCAAGAAGAAACCATTCTGCTCAATTCTTTTTTTCAATAAACTATGCCTCCTATTCTTCGCAGTCATGCCAAAAAACCTATTCCCTCCCCCTCCACACATCTCTCTGAGTTTACCAGGGGGAGGATTCTTGGGTTACACGAGCCTCAGATGAGATATCAGCAAATTTCCCACTACCTTAATATCCCCTACACTACTGTCAGAGACACAATTGTAAAGGGACATCAAGAGGGCAAGGAGAATAAGGGTAGAGGAAGACATCCTAAAACTACCAAGTCACAGGATGATGCTATGGTGGAGGAAGCTCTTAAAAATCACCATACTACCTATTCTGACATTGCTGAGCAAGTTGCTTCCAATGTTTCTAGTCGGACAGTAAGGAGAAGACTTGAAAAAAAGCATCTTAGAAAGTGGATGGCACAAGAGAGAGTTTATTTGGATGAGGATCTAGCTCAAGAGAGGTTGGAATGGGTGTTAGCTCATAGGCATTGGACAAAGGAGATGTGGAGAAGGAAGGCAATGTGGGGGGATGAGGTAGCTGTGGAAAGGGGAGGAGGAAAGAGGAGAAAATAGGTTTTCAGATACCCATATGAGAAATAGAATAAGGATTGTGTTGAACCTAAGGCTAGGAGAGGGGAGAGAGGGATTAACCAGATGATGACTGGTTGTTTTTATAGTCAAACTCATGGTCTTTTTTTGCCTGTTTTTCCTGATCCTTCTTCTGCTAGGGGTAGAGTTACTGGGAAGTCAATTATTGATGTTTATGATCATTATGACTTTCTAGAGATATGGGAGAATATCAGAGAAAAGGCTGGAGAAGAAGAGGTATTTTTTATCATTGGCAATGCTAAGACTCACTTGCCTTTTAGGAGATGGCTCAGAGGGCAGGGAATTACACTGATGAAAATTCCTGCCTATTTACCAGATCTCAATCCAATTGAAAATATTTGGTCTCTGGTGAAAGGTAAGTTTCACAAGCACTACTCTGAGCTATATCTTATGAAGGGTGATGTCAATGTGGTCAAGAAGGCAATAGTAGAGGCCATCATTCATTGTTGGGAACTTCTTGACCCAAAGGTTTTTGATACTTTAGCTGGATCAATGGTGGATAGAATAGAGGCAATTATTAAGGCTGATAGATGGTATACCAAATATTAATTTTTACTATGTATTTACATCTTTTAATTTTTTTTTTGGTTTTCATGATAGTGGATTGGTGGGTGAGTGTGGTTGTCATCACCGAAGATTTTCCTCTGTTGAATCGCGGTTAGTTTTGTCCACGCACAATACTAGCGGTTTGTTACGGGAGCCAACACAGGGAGTATGATACAGTAGAATGAAGTCAGAACGACTATCAAGATTGTCTAAAAGCGTGGTGATATGACCCGATATAAACTCGACACCTTTTATTCTGCGCGCAGATTGCAATAAATACCGAACGCCCCTCAAGAAAACTTATTCGCTTCATGCAAGTGCAGTCTATAACAGTGCCCCTCCGCTACCCCCTACTTCACCTCAAATCCATGTATGATACCCATTCACCCAGCCAGCCTCGTCACTGATAAACATTTTTTTGCTTTTCGAAAATATGATTAAATAGCCCTTGGGCGGAAAGGGGGAGGGAAGAGAAAGGAAGAAAGGAATTGAGAACGGGAGGAATGACAAATAAAAATAAAATAAAAAACAGCGCTGAAGCAAGTTCACACCAAATACACACACACATGCTTGAATCGAAACTTCCCAACACCCCCTACTCCACTGCCTTCCACTCCTGCTCCAACATAAACAACTCCTGCCAAAGAGCTGGATCCCCAACCCCAGTGGAATTAGCCCTCTTCCACATAGTCGCAGCCTCCACCTCCTGCGGGCTCTCAAACCCATACCCCACCACCGAATTCCCATAACTGTACCCGTTAAACCCGGTCGCGGTATGCTTGTACCCGGCGCTGCTCCCAGCTGCGGCCGAGACGGGCGGGTACATCCCCTTCATGTTGCGCTGCGCCTGCAAAAGCGCACGAACGTGGCCCATGGCGGGCTTGACGCGAAAGTATACCTCAGCCCTGTGTTTGGCGGCGGCAGCAAAGTGGCCGATGTCGTTCAACTGGCACGCCTCGGCCCAGATGCGCTTCATGCGCGGGGAGTAGATGTCGCAGCTAGCCGAGTCTTCAATGAGGCTGCCGTGGATGGTGAGGGCGCCAGCGAGGCTCGATGGCTTGACGACGTCAACGTAGCACTCCTCGCACACGATGAAGGAGTCCGTGCCGTACCATTTCCGCCCCATCACGCCCGTGTCACCGGGGCATGGGGGGAAGAGGGACCGCGTGTATGCAAATTCCTTGAATTTGGAAAAGTCTTTGAGGTCCAGTGACTCCGCTAGCTTCGTTAGGAGTCGTTTGTGTCTGGGCGAATCGGGCCCCATATCGCAGGAAGCGAGAGCACCTGGGGGATATTGGTCAATGTAGAAATGGCGCCCAAAGCTGGCCGCGACAATTACAGTATAGAAGCATGTAGGGCAGACGGTAAAGTTGTTAATGCCTGACATTTTATACCATTGAGCACCATCGAGAACTTCACCTCCGCACGGAGGCAATTTGGTGGTGGCATCAGCGCAATGCCAGAAGTGATCAAAATTCTTCACATTGTTCGACAATGAAACCTCCCAGGCAAGTACGATACCGACCCTAGTAAAATCGCAACTCCATTTCTCCGATCGTGGTTGTTTGACTGGGGTTGGAATGAATCTTTCACGCCACGGAGAAAGCTCAATCTTGTCCAGATAGCATGCTTCACAGACCACGAATTCCGGTATAGGTTTCTTGGTCGTCCACCAATTCCTAGGCCCACCAACGTATGAGGTTCCAACGCACTTCGGGACCTCAGTGATCCGATAAGTGGCGCTTCTGACAAAGTCCTTCCACGTGTTCCCATGCGTTGGACATTCTGGGTCAATGAGTCGCAGGAACCTCTGTTTAAGGCCCGGCACCGCTAGATCACACATGGTTTCGACATCCTCTGAGCGAGGATCAAGGGGAATGAACCGGCTTGCGAAAGGTGACGCCAAGACAATATCATTGTAGCAAGCTTCGCAAACAGCAAAACCAGGTATCTCAGATGGCACTCCCCACCAATTATCACAAACACCCGC